TGTTTGGTAGTAAAACCAATTCTGAGTCAGACCTCTGGCTCAGGTTAGATCATCACTTTGGATCACAACGAGGTGTAAAGGCGACATCTGACGACCTCACCTGTACCCTCAATGGCGAGTTTTGACACCTCAGTATATATCATTAAAGGCGTGGTTTGACGACCACTGGAATAGTTTTCGGGTCTTTCCAGGGGTAACTGCATAGACAGAGACCACCCTCTCTAACTTCTGATTCACAGGCAGTTTTGTTCTACAAGAAGGTCTGAAAAAATGCCAGTAACCACTCAATTCAGAAAAGAGCCTCAAGGTTTTCTCCTAGAACATTTTCAAGGAGTAAAGAGTTAAGGCATCCTGCGGGGTGGACTGAAGCCCCGCCGGGCTGTTTCTGGGCTCCGGGCCTTGGTTTTATTTTTTTAAGAGTTTCTGTTCTGAACCTCCACAGTATAAATAATTTGAACCCTTGAGTGAATAAATAAAAGAACAGCTGTTTTAGCTGTGAGGTTAAACAGAGGGAGTGGTGAAAGAAATGCTAATCAGCTGACATGCGCCACTGTCAGTGGCTGATTAGAAACAGAACAAACACACAAAAAAACCTCTCCACTGCCATCCTGATTGTTATTTATTGGTACCGACTTAGAATTTCACAATCGGACTTCCCTAAAATAGGATGGACGAATTTGTCCACACAAACAGTTCCGAACATTTCGCAAGGTGCAACTTTAACCTCAAGATCCAAAAACCATGCCCAATTTAAGTTGACCTTAAAAGGGGATAGCAGGCAATGTCCTTGTGCACCTCTGGACCTCTTCCAGTGTTCCTGCTATTTTTAGATCATTCCCTGGAAGTCCTGTTCTTGCAGCAATGCACACTATGTCTCCTCCACTGTATTAAAACAGCAACTGTTAATCTTCTGTTTCATTTTGAGGAAGAAGACAAAGTCTGGTGAGTAGAGTTGGTCGTAAGCAGTGATTGGGTTGGTCCTACTTCACAGAACAGGCATCCGATGTAACGCTTTTGGGCCTGGGCACGGTCGACACTACTTGTTGCTTGTTGATATGTAGCTGGAGGTCCAGCATCACCAGCGATTAAATATGACAGGTCAGTTTGACACAGAGGTGGAGGTTTCTGCACACTGAAGAGCCCAAGCCAGATGGCCCAGAACAGGACTTTCACAGAGTGATCAAGAAGTATCAATATCCATAGTATTAAAACAGCGTGGAGGTGCACTGCAGTGGGGATGGAAGCCAAATCTGTTTTTTTTGTGAGTCTTTGGCTCTGAACCCAAAACTCTAAATCAGCCATATTTGAATGCTGTCATTCTGGTGATGGAAATAAAAGGAAGCATCTTTGTTTTGCTGTGTAGTAAATGTACAGGGACACACAGGACATGGAGGTTTCTGTCCTAACCTTATCAGCTTTGATGCATTCAGTTATATCAGCAGCAGGGCACCTGGGCATGTGTTCACCTATGCTTTACTGCCTCCTGGTTGTTTGTAGTGACGAGAAAGAGGAAGAGGAGTACGAGAAGGAGGAGGTTGGTGAGGATGGAGAGATCATTCTCGTCAGTGGAGAACGAGGTGAAAAAGGTCCCTGGAACAAGTCTGGTGCCGCGCCTCCTCCTGCTCCTGTGGGTGAGTAAACCGATGTAAAATCGACCTTTTTTCTTCCTGGGGGACCTGAGGGCCTTTATTTGTTAAGGAAACCCTCAAAACCTTTTTTGTTTCAGTCATCTAAATTCAGCTTTTCCATTGTTTTTTTTGAGCAGCACAGTGATTTTTGTTTTTTGATGCATTTCATTTCAGCAGTAGAGAATGTAGAGGTACCTGAGGCGAAGCCCGCTGGTGTATATCGCCCTCCGGGAGCTCGACTTACCACCACCAAACGAGGCCCGACCCAGGGCCCTCCTGAAATCTTCAGTGACACACAGTTCCCCTCTCTACTGGCCACCGCCAAGCACGTTGAGACACGCAAGTAAGCAGAGTTTACAGGAAAACCGTTATAATAACGTATCTGGATGAGCCTAAGGGCAAAATATTCTTCAGCTCTGGGAACTGCTTGGCGATTCTTTGTAGATCACTTATTTCACTCTCGCATCTGTGTTAGGGTTGACTTCTGCCGTGCTAGTTTTACGTGGCAGTGTATTCTTGTCTCACAATGATGTTAGCGCTGTAGTCATCACATCCTTATTTTCTCCTGTTTGTGCTGTAGCATCTAGCCTTTGTGTGCCACATAATCCATTTTTGTTAACAGTAGTTGTTTTGATTTTCTGGCTTTATTTTATTTGTAATTTTTATTTCCAATATGGTATTTAAATATGTACTAAACTTTGTTCTTAGGCTTGTTATCATTGTCCTGATGCTTTCATTATTGGACACATGGCCTCATGTTTAGAATACTCTGGTATTTAGACAAGTTCATGGTTACTCACAGTCTGAAAAACAAGCCCAAATCATCACCCCTTCACCACTGTGCGTGAGCCATTTGTGCTGATTAGCCAAATGTGGCTCTGTGCACTTTGTCATAACAACATTGTTCCAGAAGTCTTGTGGTTTGTTCACTTGCAACCTTCCAAACAAGCCAAACGTGTTCAGTCTTTGTGCTCTCATGAACTTTGAACTTTTAACAAGCTAAGTGAGGCCTGTAGAGTCTGAGGTGTGGTGTGTGGTGACCTTTGAGTGAAAAGTTGCCATATTAGCAACTGAATATTTTCCACTTGTTAATAATCATTCTAACTGCAGAGTGATGGACTTCATATTGTTCGTAAACCTTCCCAGATTGATGGGCAGCAACAGTTGCTTCTCTGAGATCATTGCTGATGTCTTTCGTCCTTGGCTTTGTGTTAACACACACCTGAATGCTCCAGACCAGCAAACTGCCAAAGCTTCTCATGTTATAGAGGTGCTCACACTTACTGATGCTCAGTTGATCAAAGTCATTTGATTAGCAGCAGCCGGCTGCTACTGATCTTCTCGATAGCTACGAAAGTAGTAAGGGGGTACTTAGTTTTTCACTGGACATAAAGTGTCTAAAGGCTCAGTTATGCAGGAATGATTATACTGTGGTGCCACCATAATTACAGTAAGTAATGCTGCTTTCGCTCCTTGAATGACCTGATGTTTGTGTTTCAGGGACAGAGAAATGGAGAAGACCTTCGAGGTTGTGAAACACAGGAACCGTGGCAGAGAGGAGACCGGTGGCGCTTCTATGCAGCACTTGCAGCTCGACAACCAGTACGCCATCCTGGGGGATAAGTAGAGCGGCGTCCCTCTGTCCCCTGGCCCCTCCAGCACGGTCCTGCCCAGCCCCTTTGAAGGAAGCTGATCCCAAAGCTGTGTGGACTGCAGTCCTGACAGAGCTCACGATGCCACCATCACCACACACAACACACAGCCCCATACACACACTCACACACACACACACACACACACACACAACACCCCACCACTGCAGCACATACAGTGACACGCCCTTTAAAAAGATCAGTAAACACACTTCACATACGTTTGGTTGGCAAAACTGAAGGACTGCATCTGAAGGGGCTGAAAGAGGGAACCACCGAAACGGAATTAGGAAATACACCCAAACGTACGACACTGCAGCAGCAACAAAAAGGCGACACAGGTGTCCTTTGTGGATTGTACTCAGAGCAGCGGTTGTGTGGCGCAACTTCTCTCTGGACTTGCTTTGAGAAAAGCCACAGAGGATCGAAGATGACTTTAGGCAAGATGATTTTACAAACTTATGTGAGAATATCTATTTTTTTGCAAGATCGCTATAACCCGCGGTTATTTTGAGGTGTATTTTTGTTCTTTTTTTCTTGAGTTGCGGTTGGGACTTTGAGAGCGGGGATACTACCTCAGCAGCATAGCTGGTGGTGACCATGTGGACTGAGCTTCTTCTTTTTTCTTTTTTTTTCCTACCCTCACTGTGGTGGAGATGGGAAGGGGGGAGGGGCGAACACCAACCTCCCCCCACCCCCTTCCCCTCCCTCTGCTTACAAGCTGACCATCAGGCTCTTTAATTTAGAAACTTGAAACATTGTTCTTTTTCTTCTTCTCTTTTCCTTTTAAATTCACGATGACAACACTCTGCAGAGAGCAATGGACAAGAAGCGATAGGTTGCGGTCCTCATTTAGATGTTTCTTTATAAAGTGGCCTTACTGGTAGAAAGAAACTGCATTGTCATCTGAAGTGAAGTGCTGTCTCAACGGGCTGTTGCCTGCCTCCGGATCTCACCACTTTGCTAAAAAAAAGACACAAAAAACATGCAAAAGAAAAACAAACTCAAGAATGTAGTGCTGTTTTAGTTTGCCTGATGATTACAACTACTAACTGTCTTTCATATCCACTGTTTGATTCTGCTGCCCTTTTTCTCATTGAACATCAGACGAGTCATTAAAGCTTGTTTCTAATCTGAAACCAGCCTTTTGGTAACAAATGCTTTCCTGTGGTCTGAGTGATTGGAAACCACTTTCAAATGCTGATTTCTTGATGATGTTTGACCATACTGACTAAACCCCCCCGATTTTTAAGGCTTTTGTGTTTTTTCCTCACAGGTAATCCAAAAATCGCAGTCCTCATGTAAAACAGGTAGCTTGTGCAGCTGTGCGACACCCAGTTAATATCCAGTGGGCTTTAAAGCAGTGTGTTTAGAAACATAAAGAAATGAAGTTATGTTGTGTATGTTCTTCCCATGAATATGTTAGGGAGCATTGATACCTGCTGGGACATCCTGCTGGGTAATATTTGTGATGAAAAAGACCCTCAACACAGGAAAAAAAATAAAGTGATCCTTGTGAATTTAGTCTTGTCTGAATCCTTGAAGCTGTAAACGCCTGACTTGTGTTAATCTGATGTCCCCTCGATTATCGATTCCTATATTGTCTCATTTTGTCAGAGTAGATGTTTTTTGTCCCGACACAAAAGTTCCAGCTCTTGGGTGAAAAACACATTTTAAATGACCTTATACATGCATAACAACAAATAAGAGAAACGTCTTCTTTGTTTTAAATACAGCCTTTTAATGTTTATTCAGAGAAGGCAGTGAAACTAACAGATTTTGTGGTCTGTCTCTGGGAGGTTTCATGTTTTCATCTTTTTAGCGTCTCTTGGATACGTCTTCTTTCGCTGTTGCTTCCAATGACATGTTGTGATGAACAGTCTATAAAGTATACAGAGGAAAAAATAAATAAATAAAATGATTTCAGTTAATTGCCACACAGTCTCAGCTGTCTTGTCCATGTTATTTCAGATAAAATGCTGTTGTAAGACATGAAATCTGTGCTGATGGTCTGTTACCTCTGTTGAGGGAGTAGAATTACTTTTAAAGCGGATGCACGATCCTATGAGGAAACGCCTCATAGGATCGTGCATCCGCTGACAGCCAAATGACTCAACTGACTTTCAAAATTTAAAAGAACCCACCCCCCACCAAACACACTCAGGGTCTGGCTTTGTCTGGATTTGACATACAACTCGAACATTTTACTCCCAAGTCTCCTCCCACAGAGGTTGATTATCTTAATACTTTTACATCTACACTGCGTATGACTCTGAAAAGAAAAAAATAAAACAAAGCAAAACCATAAATCAGACATACTTGACTCTTAAATTTGCATTTTAAAGCAGATGACTCGTAAGCTGCTGTGGAACTGGCGTGTCATTAATTTGTTTTATTTGTATTTTTGTAAAAAGCCCCGTAAAGCTAGAACATCTTACTACTCATCACCGATTGAAGAAAATAAAAACAACTCTGAGCGGGGCATTCATTTAACCTTAGCTGTTTTAGGTAATTATAGGCCAATCTCCAACCTTCCTTTCATATCAAACATCCTTGAAAGAGTAGTTGTCAAACAGCTAACAGATCATCTGCAGAGGAATGGCTTATTTGAAGAGTTTCAGTCAGGTTTCAGAGCTCATCACAGCACAGAAACAGCTTTAGTGAAGGTTACAAATGATCTTCTTATGGCCTCTGACAGTGACTCCTCTCTGCTTGTCCTGCTAGACCTCAGCGCAGCGTTCGATACTGTCAACCGTAATATGTTATTACACAGATTAGAACATGCAGTCGGTATTACAGGTACTGCGCTGCAGTGATTAGAATCATTTCTATCTAATAGGCTCCAATTTGTTCATGTAAATGAGGAGTCCTCTTCACACACTAAGGTTAATTATGGAGTACCACAGGGTTCCCTGCGCGGACCATTTCTGTTTACCATTTACATGCTTCCCTTAGGCAGCAGCATCTGAAGGCATAGCGTACATTTTCACTTCTATTCAGGTGACACCCAACTTTATTTATCCCTGGAGCCACGTAACACACACCAATTAGTTAAACTGCAGGAATTTCTATTAACATAACATAACATAAAGATCTGGATGTCCTCTAATTTCCTGCTTCTAAATCCAGTTAAAACAGACGTTATTGTAACTTTCTGGTTATGGTATCTAACCAGAAAGTTACTCTGGATAGTATTACTTTGGCCTCCAGTAACATTGTGAGGATTAAATAACAGAAAAATAAATAAAACTGAATTTGGTCAGTGTAGGTGTTTTTTTTGTTGTTGTTTCATCTCCTAAGTAACAAATAGATTTTAAATGACCTTATACAAAGCATAATAACAAATAAGAGGAACTTTTTAATTATAGGTTTCTAATGTGTATTCAGAGAAGACTATACCATCAGTCGAACGGTGTCTTTCTTTGAAGTTTTTAGAGCACATTTGGTGCGTCTTCTTTCACTGTTGGTTCAACTGTTGCTTCCACTGTATTGTTGTGATGAATGGCCTATATAATGTACAGGAGGAAAATAAAAAATTATTTGCCATACGTTCTCAGCTGTCTTGTCAGTGTTATTTCAGATTAAATGTTGTTGTAAGACATTATGAAAGCTGTGTTGAAGGTGTTTTACCTGTGTACCATTTCTAGGTGATGAACGAGTATTATTAGAGGATAGAGCATGCCAGATAGAGGTGGGTATTCTCTGAAATGCATTGGATTACATTAGTTACAGGCTTTTAAACTTAACCTTTCCCCCGACATCTAAATCAAATCTAATCTACAAATAGTTTTACACACCATCAAACCAAGAAATGAAAGATATGTCAAGTTTTGTAATATTTTAACAATTCGTCAGGGTACCTTTGGTAATCTTTACTTAAACCGATAAACATGAAAATATAAAACATTAGAAATACTGGTTGATGTTTCTGGTGTTTTATTAATGTAGTACTTACGGTAGTTGTAGCTCTAGCTGAATGCTAGAATGACAAAGAACAACTTTAAGTCTTCTTAAAATAAACCATTTGATGTTTAAGAAGAAGAAACATTTTAATAAAACGAAACAAAAAAAAGTAATTATGGAAGCTGCACAAAAAAGGTGGAAATAAAAAGATTTCATATTTTCTCTCTTTCTGGACATTGATGACACTGAAGTTGGAAATGTAAGTTGCAAAAACTAAAGGGACAAAGATTTAATATTAAAATAGCTATAGAATATGTTTTTCATGATCTGTATATGACCTATATAAGATCACACCATCCATGTCAAATAATAAATTAAGATGACTTTAAGCTGCAAAAATTCCTTATTTTTGTGTTGAGTTTATCTACTTTTGTTTTCTCGTTTTAGAGGCTGTGATTGGGTGATGTTGTTTCTTAAAGATTGGATTAACCTCCTAAGACCCGAACTCTTAAACGGCATGCATTTTTAATTTCTCTTTGATATTTGGGCTGTTTGGGGCCCGATGAATGTAAAAACAAAGTTTTTTTTTACCTTATTTTTGTTTTTAAGAAAAATAAGAGCCACATATGAGGATATTCGTTTAAAATTTTGATAGAACAGTAGCAGCATAATGTCCTCGTAAGTGGATATCAGGCCCATGTAGAGCAAAATTGAGTATTTTGGCCTAAATAACCCAAAATGTGATGTCCACATATGTGGACGCCAGGTCCTAGGAGGTTAAGATGTAATGACAAGTGTTTGTATTTACTACCTGATAAAACTTAAAAACAGAATAATGTTAGACAGATACAAAATTCAGTGCTAGAGGGGTTTTTTTGCCTCTTTCTTTTCCCTCAGTGCTGAAAGGTCATTGACATTTCAAAGCAAGCAAAGCAGCATGAATCACTCCAGCTGATTCTTGGTGAAAAAATATATTTAATTCAAACTCATGTTTACATCTGGAGTCGAACTTACCAGTTAAACAATAGCTTTACAAAACTACAAAAATATAAAATGACATCTAAATATTTATGAAGACTATAATTTGCTATTGGCTCAGTGAGACCGTTAGTTCCTTTCAACCATTTAAATTTCTTCCTTTCAGTAAATCCATGAAGATCAAACAGGGATATGAATGTTCTTACCGAAGCTGTGAGAATAAATCCCACCAAACAGAGCAGTGCGAGTCCTCTCATCGTGGATGTGATCAGCGTCCCGTCTGCGCACAGACCTCCTGTTTTATAATGCAAGTGTTTGTAGGTGGAGACTCTTTCAGCTCTTGTTTAACATCAAAGTTCAACTTTGTTAGCAAATGCAAACATGTTTGCACTCACAAAGTCTGCTTTATTCTTCAGAAAACAACATTTTTAGTTTAATATAATTCAGGCCCTTTTTACTTACTGTTTCTTTCTTTCGTTTTATTTTTAAAAATTTTTTTTGCTTCTTTCTTAAGTGTTATGTTTGGTTAAAAATGCTCATTTTATTAATTTTATTCATTTTTTTATCCATTTTATTAATGATTTTTTGAACTGGAATAATCCAAATGTAAACTAATAGTGTTAAAAAAAGAACAAAACCAGCTTTGGTCTTTGTTCAGACGGGTGTTGTCATGTCGAGTTAGTTTGTATTGGGCTGAATTTGCAGGTTCTCAGCTCTAAAACCAAAATGTAGAGGTCTGGACATTCCTCTCTACACTGTACCGCATGCAGTTGTTAAGTTTGTGTTTAGGAGTTTTGCCTCCTAAACAAAACTTTACACTGGAGAGACCAAACAGCTACTTCATAAACGCATGGCACAACATAGAAGAGCCACCTCCACGGGACAAGACTCAGCTGTCCATCTGCATCTAAAGGACAAAGGTCACTCTTTTGAGGATGCCAGTGTTCATATTTTGGACAGAGAGGACAGATGGTTTGAAAGAGGAGTGAAAGAAGCCATCTATGTCCACTGTGAATGACCATCTTTGAACAGAGGCGGTGGTTTACGACACCAACTGTCTGCCATCTATAATCCAGTTTTGAGTTCCCTCCCCAGACGCCTTAACGCCCACTCACATCCTGGGCCATCTGACCTCAGGAAATCACATAGGGTGGGGCAATGGGTTCACCCGAAACCTTGGCTGATTGCGACTTGGCTGATGCTCAGCTCAGCAGGGGTGAGTCTAAAAGGGTGGCATGGGGTGGCACCGCCCTTTCTAGACCCACCCTTCTAGACCCCTCTTGGAATCTGATCGCCTACCCTCTAACTCCCACCGTCATTGGTTTAGAAAACTGTCCATCTGAAACTGCCTTATCTTATTGGATCACAGTACTGTCAATCACTCCGCAGAATCACAGTCGCGTTTTGACAACACCGGTGATTCGATCTGCACGTTTCTGCAAGTAATGTGCAGAAAAAACACTCTTACATTTAAAATGACTTTTAAAGCTATGAGCTAATATTGATTTTAAAATGTGTAGCTGTTACATTACTGCGTGTGACTAGCTTATTTTTGATTTGTAATTGTCTGTTAATAGGTTAAATTTGTATGTACTTTTATGTAAAGCTTGTGGTTTGTGAGAGAACAAAGCACTGTAATCAAAGTAACTGCATTTCAAAGTCTAAACATTACAAGCTGAGGACATTAAATTTGAGATCATACATGATTATTGCCCCCCTCTCTGCCACCTTGTTAAGAAAGTCCTAGAAACGCCCCTACAGCTCCGACTCTGATGTGATGCATTCAGTTTCTTAGACCTTAAATAACCAGGCAGTGCTTAATTGTTAATGAAATATGATTAACGTGAAAATTTAACGTCAGTTATTAATCCCTATGTTAGAGTAGGTCTTTTTTTTTCCATCTCTTGAAAAACACATTTTAAAAGACCTTTTATTAAGTTTAATAAATAAAGAAAACTTTTCCCACAACATAATTTTAGTGTTTATTCAGAGAAGGCGGTAACACCAGCAGAATCACGGTCGTCTGTCTCTGTGAAGATTCACGCTTCAACATTTTTAGCATCACGCGTCTTCTTTCACTGTTGCTGCAGCTGTATTATTGTGATGAACCTGTAAAGTGTAAAGAGAAAATAAAAGGATTTCAATAAATTGCCACATATTCTCTGTTCTCTCGTCAGTGCTATTCCAAATTAAATGCTGTTGTCCGACATTATAAAAGCTGTGCGGATGGTGTTTTACCTCTGTGGCATTTCCAGCATGAGTAGAATTATTTGGATGCGAGGTCCCGTTCTGAAATGTGTTGGATTACATCAGTTACAGATCTTTAAACTGAATTAATGGAACATGACTTGCTCAAATGATTTTATACATCATTGGTGTATGAACATATTTAAAGAAAGGGCAGTGCTAATTAAAATTGTTCTCCATTTTTTTAAAGTCATGTTACTGTACAGCTCTGTTGCTCCAGGCAGTCGGGTTGAGCAGTTGCACAGATCTTTTTTTAAAAAACCTATCAGCTCATCTGTGGCTGGGACTATCAGCTTTATTGTTCGTACGTTTTTCTCTGAGTGACACTACACTGATAATAAAAACTATTCAAATGGGTTTTTTTGACTGAACAAAAACTTTACAGAGTCTAGAAACTGTAGCTCGACTCGTGGTGGCTGTAGCTCAGGAGGTAGAGCAGGTTCATCGGCTAACTGAGAGTGGATTCAGAGTCTATCTTAGCAGTCATGAAGCAAAGGGCAGAGCATGATCTCAATACATCACCAGCCTGTCACAGACAACCAAACATGCTAGCATTCACACCTGCGACCAAATTAAAAATATAAAATTATAAGACATAAATACTGGTCATGTTTCTGGTGTTGTACCTCTGCAGTACTTACACTTGTTGGTTCAGTTGGAAAAGAAAGAGGATTTTCAAGAGGGTGCCAGTGTGTGGCCTAAAATAGAAAATATATACAATAAGCTAATAAGAAGCTTGAGCTTGCTCTTTTACAAAAATCCTTTCAAGTGTGAAAAGAGACAAAAATAAGTGCAGACAGAAGTTGACACAAAAAAGAAAGAAATTATAACATTTTGCTTCTTCTCCTTGGATTCTGAGAACTGAAACTGAATATGTAAATTATGAGACAAAGGTTTAAAACTAACAATAGCTGTAACCTCTGTGTGCAACTGTTTCATTATCTGTACTCTAACTTTGTAAAACTGAATTGTTTCTGTCAAATAATGACTTCACATCATTTTAACACAGACAGAAACGTAAATTACACAGTTGCACATGTTAACACAGCCAAAAAAGTCATTATATTTGCTTATGTTTTGATCATTATCTCAATGATCAAAACATAGGTGATTTTTACAACCAAGCTAAGGTACACAAAATAACTTGTTTATTTACGGCTTCTTTAGTCGTGCATAATAGTACTTGTTTTAAAAGTTACAAAAACACTTTTTGCTTGTGCTTCCTGGGCTTCCTTCATGCAACTGTAATGAAAATGGATCAATTTTATACATAATGATAATCAAAATAATGATAAACCAAAGTTAAAAGATGGAGGTTTTTAATTATTTTTATTTTATTACCTCAGTGCTGGAAGGTCATTGACATTTCAAAGCAAATAATTAATCAGTAAATCTCAGATCAGCAGCAGCATGAGACACACTCCAGCTGATTCGTGGTGAAAAAAAATCACATTTAAGTCCAACTTGTGTTTAAATCTGAAGTCTAACTTAACTGTTAGGCAGGAAATCAGTTCATTAAAGGAAGCTCAAACAGGTGCATGATATTTTCTTACCGAAGCTGTGAGAATAAATCCCACCAAACAGAGCAGTGCGAGTCCTCTCATCGTGGATGTGATCAGCCTCCTGTCTGCACACAGACCTCCTGTTTTATAATGCAAGTGTTTGTAGGTGGAGACTCTTTCAGCCCTTGTTTAATATCAAAGTTCAGCTTTATTCGTTTGTTAGCAAATGTAAATATGTTTGCATTCTTTACTTTTCTTTATTCTCTACAACATTTTGTACTAGTTTAGTTCAGGCCTTTCTTTCTTGTTTATTTCTGAAGTGTTATGTTTGGTGAAAAACATTTTATTAATGAATTATTGAAATTGAATAATCCAAATATAAACTAATAGTGTTAAAAAGACCAAAACCAGCTTTAGTCTTTGTTCAGACAGATGTTGTCATGTTAGTTTGTCAGGGGCTGAATGTGCAGGTTCTGTGGAGACCTTCAGCTTTCAAACTTCAGTCTTAAAATAAATTATTTAATGACAGGAAGAAACATTCTGATTTTTTTTTTTTAAAAGAAGAAAGAAATAATTACAGCTAAGTTAAAATCTGTTCAAATAATGGAAAAAAGATTTTAAACCTTTTCTTCCTGGATACTAAAAACTGAAACCAAATAAGTGAATTATGAAGATCAAAAAGGGGACAAATATTTAATATTAACAACAGGTTTGTATTTGACATACGTAAAACTGCATCATCCCTGTCAAATTGAAATTACTTGAAATTATTTTAACATGGACAGAAGCATACACTGCAAACCTGCGATGGATGTTAAAGATCAAAAAAGTTTCAAGAATTGGTAAATTTACAGTTACATATGCAAAAGTCAAAAACATCCATCAGTAATGGGGGACATTTAAAAGTTGATGTGTACCATAAATCAACAAATACAGATCAGTATTTAAGGTTTGAGTCTCATCATCCACTGGAGCACAAACTGGGTGATGCCAGGACGTTACAGCACAGAGCGAACACCATCCCCACTGACACAGCGGCCAGAACATCACATCAAGAAGGCCCTGAGTTAATGTGGTTATCCCAGACGGGAAGGCACCCAAAGAAAGCTCCAGGCGATCCAGGAGAGGACAACTGCCGCCTAAGCGAAAACCCTTAGTGATCTCTTATGTGTCAGGAGTATCTCTGAATCGAGGAGGGGGCCTAAGGGTACATCTGTCACCATCTTACAATGCTGTGATTGCAGCCATTCCCCAACTCTCTGGGAATGGTACTCATGGCCATTGATCAGTGGTCTTTGATCAATGGTCATGACAATTTGCATATTCCCCTGGAGGGTCTTAGAAAAATGCATACACTATCGGTCTTAGAGCCACAAATTGACCACGCCCAAAAAAGTGCTATAAAAAATTTATATATTAATATTTTTTTCCACTTTAAATTAGCCAATCTTTTAGACCTACTTCTCCTTGAAATATTCATGTCAAGTTTTAATTACATTTCGTGGATTTTAACCCTTTATATCCCGGTTTCGTCACAT